CACACACCCCCCCCTCCTCCCAGCCTGCCCTGCTCTGTTCCCCTCCCGGCAGCCATGCTGAGGCCCGGTATTTTTTTCCCCACGGCCCATATTTTGGGAAACGCTGAGTTAGATAGATTAGTATGTGTTTATTTTCAACCTTGTAATTTGTAGCCTTGTTACTTCCCAACAATTAATGTTGCAGAACAGCAATAGCACGTACTAATGCTACGGCACATACCAAATTTCATTGATATATCTATATTAAAGAGTTTTTGAGATATTAATTGAAAACTTGGAAAATATTTCGAATATTTTTACAGCAAAATTTCATAAGAAAAACGAACTTGCAATTTATAAATAAAAATTTATATTACTTATGTATATTAAAATACTTCTTACTTCATTAAAACAGCAAGAAACATGTTAAAATATTAAAATATACTTTAACAGTTTTGTGTAAAAAGAAAATGTGATCATTTTTGTCCAGAAAATCCAAAATAAATTCAAAGTACCTTAAGTGGTTATATCACATCACAAGCAGGTACATTATAAAAAAAAAATGTAATGCTTTTATTCATTGCTTTTCTAAGATCATAACAAGAAACATTTGGATGCAGTAGCAGCACAAGATTTGGCCATGGCTTCAACAAAAAAAATCACATCTGCCCCCTATGATTGATAGCCAATTTACGGAAAAGGATCTCAACCATGTCTTTATTTTTGAATTTGAAAAACCCAAATTTGAGCTTTTGGGAAAAGCAAAGAAGAAATCAACAACGTGCAAGGTGGGAAAGGAAGTGAATGGTGAGCTCAAACCATGTAGCTTCAAGACAAGTGAAGCAAGTGCCGTGAAAAGTTTCAACTTTTGGCAGCATGTAAAATGTAAGAGACCTCAGGTCTCCTGTCTCCTAGTCCTTTGCCCCAGTGTCTCACTGCTCTCAGGATCTTCCATCACCATTCTCAGATTTGGGTTGATTTTTTGAGGTGACTCCTGGATTCCTGCATGGGATACACTATTCATACATTCTCCACTGTGCCCGAGCTCAGCCACTAGAGCAGAGTTCTCAAACTGTGGCCTGCGTACCACTTCTAGTCTGCAGTTACTTTCCAGGAGGCCCATGGCTCAAGCTCAGCATCCTCTCCCCCTGCAACAGGGAGCCCGTGCTGGCGCTCCAGCTTTGCCCTGCCTTCTACACCTGCTGCACAGTTGGTGCACCAGCTTCCCACTGTGAGGGGGAGGGAAAGACAGCCCTGAGCCTTGCTGTGCAATCCAGCACACAGTGAAGAAGCACTCCTCCTCCCTCTCCCCGTTCCTGGCTGGGGGAACAGTTGCATGTGGACATTTTGCCTGGAGGCTTTCCCCACTACTTCCATTAGCTGGAATCTGGCCAATGGGAGCAGCGGGAGGTGGTACCTGATGTAAAGGCAAGTAAATGCCCTCCACTCCCTCATACCCAGCCCCCGCACCTCAGCCCCCTCACACAACCCTCCTGCCAAGACCCCACACACCCAGCCTGCTCCTGTATCCTCCCCTCGGCCAGACACCCTACCCACGCCCCAGCCTGCTCCTGTACCCCTCCTCTCCAGCCAGACACCTACCCCCAGGCTGCTCCTGCACCCTCCCTCCTGGCCAGACACCTACCCCTAGCTTGCTCCTGCATCCTTCCCTTGTTCCTGCACCCTCCCCCAGCCAAACACCCTACTCCCAGCCTGCTCCTGAACACTACCTCCCATCCAGACTTCACCCCCTCCTTCACCTCACCTCCTGCCCAGATCCTGCACCCCCAACTCTCTTGCTGTCCCACACACTGAACCCCTCATTTTTGTCCCAACCACAGAGCCAGGGAGAAAGGAAGTCCACAAAATACACTGACCCCAGAACCCCAGAAGAGTTAATCTGGCCTATGTGGGAAGCCCTGAATCTTAGTTCTCCCTGTCTCTCCCCTTCCCCTGGTGGGGCCGAAGAGCCAGAGGAGTGAAGTGTCACACCTGGGGGGTCATATCAAGGTGGGATGGGGATTTTTTTTACTCATTTTTCTGTGGGTCAGTGGTCCCTGACCCAGAAAAGGATACCAATCCCTGCCATAAATAAATAAAACATGGGAACCGTTTGTGTTGGACATAAATTAATATTTTACATTATTTAAAGTAAAGTTTGATTAACATGAGAAAGTTAAAGTGCTTAATCTGTTTCATAATTTAAATTAATATTTCCTTTCTTGCTGGTTAAATTAAACCCTTCTCCCTTGCTGCTGCACTAGATGTAAGTATGTAATTAATGACGAGTTTCCGTTAACAACTGGTGGTCCACAGAAAGATTTGCATTGAGCCAGGCAGGCCACAGGCCAAAACATTTCACAAATATTGCACTAGAGGCAAGGAAATCAATTAACAGCATTTTCCAAGCCCTGCTGCTGTTCCTCTCTCCCCCAAGGTGGTGCTGATACACTGTGCATTGACCCTGAGTGAGAAAATTAGATTCAGCATTTCATTTCATGTCACTGCAGCATGACAGAGTCAGAGCAAGCATATGTACAAGCCCTACACAGTAAGAGGAAGAGGAAGGAATGTACAAAACAACACTGTGGTAAAATGAAAATGGTGTCCCTAGCCTCTTTTTGTCTGGAAATGGGTGACAGGGGAGGGATCACGTGAGAATTACCTCGTGTTTCTTCCCTCTAGGGCATCTGGTATTGGCCACTGTTGGTAGACAGGATACTGGGCTAGATGGACCTTTAGCCTGACTCAGTATGGCCATTCTTATGTTCTTAAACGGCTCAGAAGGTTTTTCTTATGAAGAATGCAAAAGAAAAAAAGAGCACTTTAAAAGAGACACTTTCCAGCACTTGAACTCCTATATTCTGCGCATGCAGTCAGGCATGATTGTGCTACTACAGAAAGCTATTGTTTAGCTGATTCGGACCTTAAATGTTAATTTTCAATGTCTGTCCAAATCAGCTTGCACTCTGCAGAGTTGTTGACTCGAGTCCCATGACTTGAACTCAAGTCCAACTTAAATCACCTAGGTGATTCGACTTGAGACTCGACTCAGGTTCATTGTTTGTGACTCGAGACTTGCTAATTTTATTAAATTGACTTGGTGAAAAAATTGTCCGAAAATGCCGATATTGATGGCTTGTACAAAAGTGACTTGACATGTTTTAAATTAAGACTTGAGACTCGACTTGGGACTTGACTCAAAAGTGACTTTAGGGACTCGAGACTCGACTTGAGACTTGAATTGTAGTGACTTGTCGACTTGGACTTGACAATGACAACTTGAAGACAACACTGGCACTCTGGCTTCCACAGTTCCACTCACACAGCAAATCTACATCAGATTCAATAGCCTGAATGAGAGGAATAAGGCCCCAGTTCAACCACAGGTCACTGACCACAGTGTAGAGACTAGTACAACAATAATCTCTGTTACGGAGAAGGTCAGCTGAGAAATATAAAGTCCCTGTGTAACCCTTATGCCAAGTGGAGTCAGCAGCAGCCAGGACCATGTTCAATATCTAGGGGTTCCTCTCCGTCCAACACAGAACTGGCTTGAGCCTCCATCCAGTAACCTGGGAAATTCTCTCTCAGCCTCTGGGTGCCTCTGGGAGGCAATGCTTCCCCACTCACAAGCCCAGAGTCTGAGTGTAGAAAATAAACTTTTAATAAAAGGGAGGGAAGCAACTTGGCATTAATTTGGGAAAACACCACAGAATTTATAAACAAACTGTGAGTAACAGTCCCACCCCAGTAGATTGGGCAATGTCCTTTCACTCTCAGGTTCTTAAGTCCAACAATGTAAATGTCCCCTTCACACGCCCAGCCCTTCTCTGCACCCCACTCACAGTTGCTGCCTTTGGTCAGGGCAGAACCAGAGTTCAGAGGTGTATCCACTGAGTTCACCTCCCATCCTGAGTGCGGGGGAGATAAAGAAGCATTTTACTCACTCTGCTGGTCACTCGCCAGCCACCTGCTCATTGCCCTCTGCCACCGCCCTGCTGGACGTTTGTCTCACCTCTCTGTGCTGCCCTGCTGGCTGCTCATTATGCCTCTCCATCGTCAGCCTGATGGCCATTCATCGAATCTCTTTGCTACCAACCTGCTGGCTATCAATCTCCATCCACTCCCATCCATTCCTTGGCTGTGACTTCTGCCCTTGAGTCGCAAATGATTTCAGCTCCCAGTGATTTCAACTCTTACCAAGCAGAGTAGAAAAAAATCACCATGCCAGCACAATTACCATAAGAAGAGAGACACCTTAAGATGCCTACTTAGCTCTGTTCTTTGAACAGTGGTGGGGGAACAAGTAGACCTGTGCTAAATAGTTCCAAATGAAAGGGCTCTCCATTAGTAGAAAGAACCTTGCAAACGCAGCGGCTGGACTTTCAGAGCTCTGTGAAGGGCAACGTGAGGGAAAGTTATTCTGGGCAGGAGGCTGGCTCTCTGACTTCCCCTGCCTTTCAACAAAATCAAAACTATTCCAGGCATCTTACATCCTCTTGCAACTGGCACATGCCTGTCATGTTAAGATGTGCCTACACAGCAATTTAAAACCCAGTGTAGCAAGGGATTCGCAGGACTTGGGTCAAGGGGCTGTTTAATTATGGAGTAGATGTTCTGGCTCAAGCTAGGGCCTGGACTTTAGGAGCCTGCAAGATGAGAGGTTCCCAGAGCTAAGGCTGCATCCCAAACACAAACCTCTGCTCCGCAATTAAACATCCCCTCAGCCCAAACCCAGTGTTTCTACATCTACACTTCTTCCCTTTTGTGCAAGAGGGTTTTTGCGCAAAAAAAAGCGCTGTGTAGACAGCTCCTTTTTGTGCAAAAAAAAAAAAAAACAAAACCAAACCCTTTTGCACAAGAGGCCGTTCTTCCTGAAAAAATGAGGAAGAACGGCTCATGTGCAAAAGGGGATTTGTGTGCAAAAAGGAGCCGTGTACACAGTGCTTTTTTGAGCAAAAACCTCTTGTGCGAAAGGAATCTGAGGAGGAAATACAAATGCAACAATATGCAAATGAGCACTCCATTTGCATTTCCTCTTGCGGAAAAGGGAAGCAGTGTAGACGTAGCCCTCCTGTCCTCTGGCTACACTGCAGGCAAGAAGGAGTTAAGCCCTAAGGCCCTGCTGAGCACCAGAGCCCAGGGAACTTGAGTGTAGGGGCTTCAGGGAATCAGCAGGGGAGGGTGCCTGGGGGTGGAGCAGTCCCATGCTCCCTGGGGGCAGGATCTAGGTCAGGGAACATCATATGAAGAGGGTGCTAAGTGCCCCTCCCTGGAGGCGTGCAGTATCAGGATGCAAACAGGCTTGAAACAGCTTCCTCCCAGCCACAGCAGAGCTAAGCTGAGGGGCAGAGAAGCTTCCCCATGGCAACACTGTACGGTGCTTTGGCACATGTAGGGTTTGGCCTCTCCTGGTCAGTGCTGTGGGCCAGAGGGCACGAGCTTGATACCAGCCCCACCAGAGACAGTGGGGGAAGAAAGGAGCCTGCCAGTGAGTCTGTTTGTTAGCTAATTGATCTGACTAGGGTCTGGTTCTCTGCACAGCGCCGGGAGCAGAATGCACCCACCAGAGGAGGAGGTTACGGAGGAGCAGAAAGGGAGGAGAGGAAGGAGGTTCCCTGCTCCTTCCCTCCCTCACTAGTAGGCTGGAAGTGGGTGGGAGGGCAATAATTCAGGGTATGTCTACACTACCCTCCTAGTTCGAACTAGGAGGGTAATGTAGGCATACCGCACTTGCAAATGAAGCCCGGGGTTTGAATTTCCCGGGCTTCATTTTTAAATGCCGGCAGTTCGAACCCCATGCCGCCCGGCTACACGCGGCACGGAGTAGCTAGTTCGGATTAGGCTTCCTAATCTGAACTAGCTGTACCCCTC